GATGTAAGGGTTACCTCCTGTGTATTCTTTGAAGTTGACATTTTATGTGTAATTTTCCATTTAAGTTATTTTTTATTTTAATTTATTTATGATTTATTTATTTAAAAAATGAAAAGATGTTTAACTTTTTATTTATTTGTTTTTGTTCTGTTTATATTTCATTTTTATTATTCTTTATAGTTTTGTAGTTTTGTATTCTGGTTGTGTATGTAATTTATTGCTATGACTGTATCCCCTGTGAATGTTATATCTTCAATTAAATAAAAAATAAGGAATCAGTAGCAGAAACTCAAAAAGATGTTTTCTTAATTTGCTGGTGTTTTTTCAATTTGCATGTTTTCTTAAGTTGCAGCGCGTTGAGCTCTCTCGGCCACTGTATGAATGGGACCTGGATTCATCCAGAAGGCTCAGCAACTCCTGCTGCTCTACTACTGCTTCTTTGTGAACATCGGAACAAACTCAGGGCAGCAGAGACCGAATGGCACAAATCAAAAGATCCATCTAACCGGAGTATATATCAGTCTTTGTTTTCATCTTTCTCTGTTAAAGTCCATGCTGCCAAATCTTTGTATTTCCACAACAAGATCTACAGTGCTTCAGACACATGTAATCTCTTCAAAACATTCAATTCCCTCCTCTGTCCCCCTCCACCACCTGTCACACCACATGGACTTTTAGTTTGTTTTCGTCCCTTATGTGTTCCTTGACCTAGTTTTCCCTCGTGTCTGATTATGTCATTATGTTCAGGTGTGTCAAGTTCCTGTCTCGTGAGTTAGTGTTTGTCAGGTCTTAAACGTTTATGTATATGTGTTACCAGCCTCCCTTGTGTGGAATTTACCTGTGTTTGGATTAGGGATGCAGCGATTAACAAGTTTCACAACTACCCGCACTTTAAAACATCACGGTTAATTCACGAGTTCACACTTACATATAATGAACCGAGTAAAGGTTATGCGTATTTGGCGTGCTGTCTGGGGAGAGGGCTCCGAGCTCGGTAATTACTCTCGAGCCCGGGGTACTCCCCCTGTCCGGGGAGAGGGGTCCGAGCTCGGGATTAAGCCCGGACCCAGAATGCTCCCCCAAAGATGCAATTAGTATGGGACAGCAGCCAGAGAGGAGCATTGATAACCCCCCAAATTTGCAGAACTTAAAATTGGTGGGGTGCTGGACATCGCTTGTAGTAGCGGCACTGCTGAGGCTTAGGAGAGAGAACTAGAGGCTTCTGCGGAAGCGGGCGCTGCTGCGGCATCTGAAAAAGAAAAACCCCTGTGGGAGTGGGAACTGCTACGGCATCTGGAAAGAAAAAATGGCTTCTGCGGAAGCAAGCGCTGCTGCGGCAGTGTAAAATACAGATAATGGCTCCGGCGGAAGCGGGAACTGCTGCGGCAGTGGGGAAAT